GAGAAGGGGAAAGAAAAGGAGGAGAACTGGGGAGCGCCACTCTGGGCACAGGCCTAAAACACCCCAAAAGCAAGTGAACTGCTGTCAAGGCTGACGGTGGATGTGTCGGCCGAATGTTCCCGCAGCGTGGGAGCCGTGAACTGTTTGGAACTGTTTTTCATCCTTCAGCGACGCACTGAGCGCAGCGCAAGCTAGGGAGAATGCAGGAGCTTAGATGTTCTTGAAAACGCTGAGGAATTTGTTCCCCTTTTTGCATCGACGTTGTTCTCGTCGGCGAGCGAGGGGGGTAGGTGCGAGAAGGGGCGGGCCTTCTCAGAAGGCTCGGAAGTCCCCCAGCCTTCTGAGACGTGTCCTAAGCCTTCCCCGAAGACACCGAAGACTTCTCCGAAGGCGCGAGGGCTTCTGAGAAGTCCCGCCGCCTTCTGAGAAGGCCTTCTCCTTCTCACTTCCCCCCCTCGCTCGCCGCCGAGTGCCGAACGAACGACACCTCCCTCAGGTACGAGCGACTCGCCTACACCATATGAACGACCCGCGGTGAACGAGCAGCCGACTCGCTCGGCTGCACGAGGCCGCCGAGCTGTGACTCGGCAAGGCCCCAGCAACCTGACGTTCAGGTGCCGCGGGTGGGGCACCGCCCGGCAGTGGCCCTCGCTCGCCGCCGACGCTTATTACTGTGGGCGGCGATGCGGCTACGCTTCAGGTCCGGGATCGGCCCGTGGCCTGCCTGCCCGTGCTCTTTGCGTCTGCACTGGTCTCGAATACGCTCTTAAATGGGCCGAAGTCAACACGTTCTGGTCGAGTCCAGAGCGAAAAGTTGAAAGCGGGGGAAAGAAAACAAAAAAATAACAACAACAACAACAACAACAACAACAACAACAACAACAACAACAACAACAACGACAACAACAACAACAACAACAACAACAACAACAACAACAACAGCAACAACAACAACAACAACAGCAACAACAGCAACAACAACCACAACCACAACAACAGCAACAACAACAACAACCACAACCACAACCACAACCACAACCACAACCACAACCACAACCACAACCACAACCACGACGACAACCACGACAACAATAACAGCAGCAACAACAACGACAACGACAACGACAACAACAACAACACCAACAACAACAACAACAACAACAACCACAACCACAACAACAGCAGCAGCAGCAACAGCAACAGCAACAGCAATAACAACAACAACAACAACAGCAACAACAACAACAACAGCATCAGCAACAGCAGCGACAACCACAACAACAACAACCACAACCACAACCACAACCACAACCACAACAACAACAGCAGCAATCACAACAACAACAACCACAACCACCACCACAACCACGACAACAACCACGACAACAATAACAGCAGCAACAACAACGACAACGACAACAACAACAACAACAACAACAACCACATCCACAACAACAACAACAGCAGAAGCAGCAACAGCAACAGCAACAGCAATAACAACAGCAACAACAGCAACAGCAACAGCATCAGCAACAGTAGCAACAACCACAACAACAACAACAACAACAACGACGATGACGACGACGACAACAACAACAATGACAACAACAACGACAATTTCAACAACAACAACGACAACAACAACACCTACAACAACAGCAACAACAACAACAACGACGATGACGACGACAACAACAACAACAACAACAATAATAATATCAACAACAACTTCAACAACAACAACACCAACAACAACAGCAGCAGCAAGAACAGCACCATCAACAACAACAACAGCAGCAACAACAACAACCCCAATAACCACAAAAACCACGACCACAACAACAACCACAACAACAACGACAACAACAACGACAACAACGACAACAACAACAACAACAACCACGACAACAATAACAGCAGCAACAACAACCACAACAACAACAAACACAACAAAAAAACAACAACACCCAAAAACAACAACAGCCCCAGCAACAGCAATAGCAACAACAACAGCAACAATAGCAACAGCAACAGCATCAGCAATAGCAACAGCAACAACAACAACGGCAACAGCATCAGCAACAGCAACAACCACAACAACAACAGCACAAAGACGCACACGGCGCTTTCCGGGAAAAAACGAGTGCAGGAGGGACGTGAGGGAGGAGGAGGAGGAGGAGGAGGAGGAGGAGGAGGGAGAGGAATAGGAGGAGGAGGGAGGAGGTTGCTGGGAGGAGGAGGAGAGAGGGAGGAGGAGGAGAGGAGGAGGAGGAGGAGGAGGAGGAGGGAGAGGAGGAGGAGGGAGAGGGAGGAGGAGGAGGAGGAGGAGGAGGAGGAGGAGGAGGCCTCCTGCCCCGCGGGCGACCCGGGGGGCCGGCCATCGTGGCTCGCCGTGCGCTCCTGGTAGAGCCGGGTGAAGGCCTCCTGCTGGAGCTGCGAGCGCAGCGCCTGGCCCAGCAGTTCGCGCTCCTCGGGGGGCTACGCCGAGGTCGGGAGGGGGCGCGGACTGCTCCTCCTCCTCCTCCTCCTCCTCCTCCTCCTCCTCCTCCTCCCTCCTCCTCCTCCTCCTCCTCCTCCTCCTCCTCCTCCTCCTCCTCCTCATCCTCCTCCTCGACGATGCCAGCGAGGGAGGCCGCAGAGAGGCAGGCTCTGAGGCAGGGAAGCGGCGCGGCGAGGACGAGGACGAGGGCGAGGACGACGAAGAGGAGGACGAGGGCGAGGGCGAGGACGACGACGAGGAGGACGACGACGACGACGACGGCGGCGACGACGACGACGACGACGACGACGACGCGGACGCAAAGAAAGGAGGGAGGGAGCGAAGTCCACAGGCGGAGGGCTGTTCAGCGGGAGCAGAGCGGAGCGGAGCGCCGAGTACGCCCAAGAGGGCGGCCCCACCGGAGCGCGGCGGTGGGGCCTCAGCCCCGAGCTGGTGCTGGGGCGTGGCTGCCCCGACACGCAACACGCAGCTTGTAGCGTATTGATACGGAGCTCAACACGTAATCCAAAAACGTAGGTATGGCGCGATGCGTTCGCCACAACGTGGTCCAGTACGTTGAGCCAACACGCAACGTATCGACACGCAGGCTTTGAGCACCGTACAATGTTGCGTATCAAACGGGCGTATCGAGGCAGCTACGTGCTGAGAATATCGGGTGACAAAGTCGGTCAGATGACATGCGAATGAGTTCCTCCGCCTCGCTTCGACACACGATGGGGTCTACTCCCCAGCAGCGATGGCATCACTGGAAGCTCAATGCTCGTCCCTTCTGACGGACTGGTCTTTGCTCGTTTGCAATACCGCTCGCAAAGACAATCCCAAAACTCGGTTTTGCGCAAGCCGTCGAACTTATCATCGATGTCCTCTCTGGTGAGCTGGTAGAGAGGAGAGAGGACAATGTATGAGAAAACGGTGAGACGGTGGTGCACAGCAGCACTGTGTCGGTCGTGAGGACCCTGGCGCTGGTGTACGACACCGCGCGGATCGCTCAACCTTGAACGATCGGCGGCTTCTCCATCGCCACATCGTCCCATATTGGCAGACTCTGGGCCTCTGTCGGCGTTCAGACCTGAGGAGGAGGAGGAGGCAGGAGGAGGAGGAGGAGGAGGAGGAGGGGTCGCAGCCGCGTCGACCCGACACGAGCCTGCCGCACTTCAGGTCGTGGCCGCCGAGACGACCTCTTGGGCGAGCCGAAGGGCGCTCCTCCGCCGTCCAGGGCCTGCTCTGCGTCAGTGCCGTCAGGTACGTCCGCGGTGCCCCCGGGAGGGCCACAGCGGGCGTCGGCTGCAGCAGTTCAGCCCAGATGCTCAGCCTCAGACTGCTCCTCTTCTCTCTCAATCTCTCTCTCTTTCTCTCTCTCTGTCTCTCTCTCGTCCATTCCTCATCGCCTTCCTCGCCCTGCATCCTCCTCCTCCTCCACCTCGCCGTCCTCCTCGTTCCTCCCTCCTCCGCCTCCCTCCCCACTCAATCCCCCATCATCAGTTATACTCCTAATCGTCCTCTTCCTCGTCTTCCTCAGCATCCTCCCAATCATGATTCTAATCACATTCATCCATATTCTCCCCCCTCCTCCTTCCCTCTTCCTCCCCCATCCTCCAATCCTCTTCACGCTTCTCATATTCATCCTGCCTGGTCGCTTCATCCTTCTTGTCCCCTTCGCCTCGGCCTCTCCATCCGCATCAGCATCCTCGACCTTCTCGTCACATAACATGTGTGCAACATGGACGCAAACGACGATGACCCGTGGCCAGACCTGACACGGCTGACCTCATCGATGCTGGCAGCATCATCACCGCAAGCTGTGGCAGCCTGGATGCTGCGAGCGTCTGCGGTGGCTGGCTCATACGCCCACAATCACTGCCACGAACGCCACTACGCACGGCCCGCATCACAGTCCACAAACTCGATATAATCATCATCCCGGCAGAACTCCAATCGACTGCCGTGCCAATGGCAATGCGAACGCTAGCTGCGACCGTGACGGCCAGTGCTCGCTTCTGAACTGCAATTGCACATGTGGTTGCTGGTTGTGCGTGGATTGTACTCGCGAGCATACCAACAACCGCTATTGCAAGAGCGGATTCTACGCTGTGCTGTCAAGGTGGTGACTTGCTTTTGTTCGACCTAAGTGTGAAAGCTGATTCCTGCTGAAACCTCTATGGCAACGGTGGCTCGCTCTGGAATCGCCTACCGATAGCGAATTGCCGTTCGTACCGCTTCACGGGGAAGTCCCAACAATCGCATCGATCCTAGGCTATGTTAAACATGCCTCCGAGAGACAAGTCCTTTCCCTGCCCCATCACCGCCACCACCCCGCGCCCTTCAGTCCCCAAGGGCACGCACAGCCGCGGCCCTCGGCAACGAGGACAATGTTGCTGGCGCTGGGGGCAAAGGCGAGAAGCTCTTGGACCGAAAGCGACCAGTTCTCTCTCTCTCTCTCTCTGTCTCCCCCCTGCCTCGCGCGTGGGGGGAATCCGCAGGGGAGGCAAAGCCACGCGGCTCTCGTGGAACAGCGCGCGCCGCATCGCGTGGATGTTCTTAGCTGGGAGGCTCTTCGGGTCCGCCGCACAGGAGAACAAGGAGGCCCCCCACCTTAGTATTAGGTCAGGCATATCCCCCGAC